GTATGTTTCTGCAGATGCCAATAGGAATTGGGACTAGAAATCCAGTACAGTCACTGAAAAGCGCTGGCCTCACCCAGGTAATATTTAATATTTAACTGCATTGTACTTTAATACCAGATTAGTGTTTAGTATCAAGTAAGTCATCCCTGACATGTGAGTTTTTCTTTTTCAACAGGAAATTTTCTTTGCTTCATAGTGTGCTTTCATAAATGACATCAAAATAAACCTGTGAAGCATAAAAATAGCTTTCTATATTACAGCCACACTATGGTCACAGAGAACTTACTAGTAAATAAAATTAAAAAACCATAGCCAGTTGACCCTGTATGCCCAATCTGAAAACCATTCTCCTTTAAAGGCCTGCTGAAAAGTGTTGGTCAGTATTTTCTGTCTGTTCATCATCAGCAAAGCTCTCACTGCAAGCATCCAAAACCCACACATCTAGAACCATTTGGTTTTGGTTTTGTTTTTTTTTTTTTTAATTTTATTCTTTTTAAAGAAAAGAGGGGTCTAAACGAAAGGGGAAGGAGAAGTAATAAAGAACTGGTATGGATCTACATGTGTCTCTGTAGGACAATGAAGCATGAGAGCAGTGAGCCAGGCACAGATACATGAGTGAATCCCAGACTTCCTGCAATATCATCTATACGCTCTTCTTGAGATGAGTCATACCAAATAATAAATAAGCTGTGTAGCTGCGCACAGTAGAGAACAATAACCTGTCTACTATGTTTTATCAATATAAAGTCATAGTCCAACAGCCAAGGGGAAGGATAGGAATTGGGAATTGAGTTTAATCAGTTGCTATTGCTTGCAAGAACTCCGGAGGCCTTACAGAAGAGATGAATGCAAATTAAGTCCCGTGGCGCAGGATAAAAGTAAGTTCAGTTTTGAGGTGAAAATGTTTCTTTTTGCAGAGAATACAGGAAATGTTTTTGTATTGGGAGAATCCAGCCAACCATGAAAGTACATGTTCCCATTCTGAGCTATTTAGTCTATGTTTTTGTAAGGAAAAAATATATATGAAGAGCAAAGCAGAAAGCGTAACATTTGAAATAGGCCTTCGTGTTCCAAGAGGATGGCCTAGGGTGTTACCTTATGCTCATGTATCTCATCCCACTCCACTGTCAGTGCTGTCTTCCTTTATGTTAATTGCCCTTGAACTTTACCCTTTCCTATCCCAAGCGAATAGCTTGACCATAAAATTGTCATATCAGCTTCTTGTTTTTTTCTTTCTTGCTGGCATAATAACTATTGCATTATTTACATTCAATGAAACAGCTTCAGCAGGAGCTAATGAGACAGGTGGTGTTGCTGCATGTTCCTCAGCCATACACTGTGTAAGAGTTTTGGGTTGGGGAACTTCCCTGTGGTTGAGAAGACTGGTTTACAAATTCTTACTGCCTGTCAGGTCACATGGCTTTTAAAACTGTCACCGCAGTTTCGTATCTTAGCCATTGTTAATTAAGTTAAAGAGAAGAAAACATACTGTGTTTTGCCAAATGGCTGTACAGACTTCTCTTTCTGTATATATGCATCCACATGCATGAGTGTGCATGTACACACACAAACACAGAGTTATTTAGGTACTGGCTCTGCTTTCAACAAACAATTTGTTCAGCTTCATAGAGTGGGTCCTGCCAGCATCAGGTTGTGCTGCAGAGCTGATGGCACCAAGTGCTTTAACTCTGGAGTGACAGCCACTGGTGCACCTCCTCCCCTGGGAGAGGAAGGCCTTATGGCAGCAGGTGAGGCTAGCTAGACTGAGGACAAGGAGTCACAAGGGAAGAATTGTGCCCATACCCAAACTGTTAATTGTTAAATATCTCCCCCCTGCTCTGCTGCTGATGAGAATAACACATCAAGCAGGAAGGAGAGCAGGTTCCCCAGTTGTTAGGCTGATGAATAACTCAATTGGTTTTCTCAAACCAGTCCAATTAACAGCAAAATCTCTTTCATAGAAACAAATGTTCAGCCAAATAAAATTGAGATTCTTTTTGGACTTGGAGAATTAAAAATTTATTTTACACTTTCTGCATAACAGTCTGCAAAAGCTGATTTGTTCCCTTCCAGAATCTCAGGATTAGTCCCAGATATGCCTGTGTGAGGTTTCTGCAAATTTTATTTAGATGTGAAAGGAAAATAACTTGTCTTGTACAATCCATTCTAAGTTTCTAGTGCTCAACACCCATGAAGTGGATTGCTTATGGGGAGATAATGTCTTTTTTGTGCCTTCCAAAGTCTGTGAAAAATGTCTTCCTGGTTAATAGGCTGATTAAAACTGTATATGCTTCAGAAGATAAATATGATTATTTATCATACTTGCCCAAGATAATGACAGTAAAGAAAAGGTTGGAATTCTGTATGATTTCCTCTTTTCCACATTCAGAGACATTCAGCACACAATACGCAGATGGTGCCACATAAAGGATCACATTAGCTGTTAAACATTTTTTCTTCCCATTAACTAATTTAACAATATGTCCCTGCTATTAAAGAAAGAGACAAATTACACAAAACTTCTGTCAGCTTAATCCTGATTGCTAAAATGGACCATTTGCCCAGACGGGATTGTTTTCTGGCCTATCAGGTTCAAAACGACTAGAAATTCAGCAACCACCAGCCCAGACTCTCACAGTGTTGATTCAGCTCTTCATCCTTAATTGAGTTTCAGGCATGTAACTCTCTGGAGATTTTTGAATGACAGCCTAAATATTGAAGCCTATTCTGCTCTGTGTTTGTTAGGTGACCTGAATTTTCTAAAACTATGAGCTCTTAGAAGCCTAGTTTAAGTCAGCAGCTGCTGTAGGTGTCAAAAATCACAGCAAAAGCTCCTGAGGCATTTTTGCCAGAGAGCAGCTGACCAAATTAAACAAACATCTCGAGTTTGTTTTCATTTGCCACCTCCTACTGCAAAGACACTGTTGCTGACTGGTGCTGTGGAGACTCCCTTTGTAAGCATGTGAATGGTGGAGTAGCCTGACTATCAATGTTTCTTACACAACCGTTTGCCATACTGATCTCTTTTCATCACTGCTTTCCTGTTTCACTTCTTGCTTCTAAGCAGCAAAGTAGTATGGAGGGAGCTCATGTACTATTAAGTATTAGCTTGCAGGCTAATTTTCAGGAACACACTTTGCCTCCATTATTCCCATAACTAAATGTGACCAGAAAGTTAGAAATGTAACACAAAGGTCAGCTGAAAAGTGACTTGAAACAACTTGAAACTGCACTGTGACCACACTACATTCCCCCACTTTGGATGGCAGTGTTGCAATCATCCCGTTGTTTTAGTGTAACTTTTTGTACGGGAAAAGTTGATAAGGAAAATACACTTCTTCCATGTTTTATTCTTACACTCCCTTGATGCAGAAAGAGAGTGAGCAATTTTTTAAACAAAAGAGAAAGCAATAGGGGAGGCACTGGACTTGCCAACTTTTTTAGTGCCACTGTCTACTTCTAGTATCTAAGTCTTGAAATTTGACTTTTTCTTTTTAATCTGTATTTTCTGATTATTTTTTTTTTTTTGCCTAATTTTATTTGCTCAGTTTCAGTAACTGAGTATACTATGGTATCTAGCTGCTATTGGTGTACTAGGTACTTTTCCTCTGTATTTGTTCAGGGTTTTGTTGTGGTTTCCAGTAACTCTTTGCCAAATATTTTCATGAAGAGGAAAAAATGAACCATCACAAAAACAGCAGAATGCTCACCAAGTGAAAAGAGCTGCACAGTGCAATAAAGAAAATCCAAGATCTCCCATGTTTTTCACGTGGATTGAGACTTGATTTACTTTCACATTACGCCTGCACTCTTCTACAGAAACCTTTATCTAAAGAAAACCCATTTCCAGCCAAAAGCACAGAATAAAGCTTGGAAAAAGATGATCTATGAATTCCTCTCTCCTTGAAAGATGTTTTATGTTCTGCCTTATACCTCAGCATGGATTTACTTGAGCACTCTGTACTTGCCCTGGGTGGTTCTATTTTAAAGATTTCTGTCTTTATATAGTGTCTTTGTATTTCACTATGTTAGGATTTTTTGAATCTGGTATGTCCATATAACTGGGCACCTCCAGATTCAATTCATCCTATCTGTTGGAAGGGATTATTTTTTTTAATAATAATACAGTTACACTGATCCCATGGCTAACCATTACCAGAAGGGACAGCTTTCTTGTGCCAGGACTAGCACTGTTCTAACCCTCAAAGCTCTAAAGCACTCAAAAATGATTCATTCTTATCCTCAATTGTGTTCTCATGCAGTTACTGTGCTAATGGGAGGTAAGCAAAGGTAGAGCAACTCTTTTCAAAGGCAGCCAGCAGGTAGGTCAGGTCAGATGCTTTGTACAGTTCCAGAAGCAGCCATTCATTTCAGTACAGTGCAGGTAACCCTTGTGCCAGTCCTGTCTTTCTCCACTGACTCTGCAGGAAACTTTGGATGGCTCACTTAGGTGAGTTATTTAATCCAGATAAAGACAGATGACCTGAACCCCACCCTAGAAACTAAAGGTAAGCAACCTTATGGACATCATGTGATTTGCATCTATTTAGTTCAGTTCAGCAACTGACCAGTTTTAATGACATGGCTGCTTGTTAAACTTGGTAACTCAGCATAAGTGTAATTAATATGGTATCACCATGCACACAAACTAACAGAAATATGAAAATAATAGTACCATTTTTCATGTGCATATGATGACAGTATTCACCAAGAATTATTTAATATTGTATTACAAGCATCAAGCTATGGAAAAAATGTCAACTATTACCCTTCAGTCGCTTTAAAGATACTAGTTTAGTGTCATGTTTCATAGGAAAACCATACCTCTCTATTAGTCATCTAACATTTAAAGCTTTTTTTTAATGTTTTTTTTTTCCTAGGAATATAAAGACTTAATCATAAAAGACAGGCTTTAAGAGGACTTCATTGAATCTGACAATTGACTAATTGGGCAGTGTGCAATTAATAAAAAAACCCTGATAACTGAGCATTCAACAAAGGATTTTTCACTAATAGCATTTATTTTTTATTATTTCTGCATTTTTACAGATCTACAGTTCTGCAAATACAATGTTTGAGTAAGACATTATTCACCTTATGCCCATATTTTATGAGATTACTGCAGTGTGCAAAAGTGTCACATTGCTTCTCCAGGTAGAAGAACCACAGGAACAACTGAAATACAAAAAAATTAGCCCGGCCCATACACTTTCTCAGCTGAAAATATTGTGTAGGACACACTGTGTGTCTTACAATTTTATACCTTTTTCACAATTTAAATTGGTATACAAATACAGTAGAAACTTTTATGCAAATTATCAGATTCACTATTGCGGGATCCAATAAAAAAGCTAACACTGAGAAAACAGTGCACTTTGTAGAGATCTCTTCTGATGCTCTACAGAGGAGCTCAGTAGGTCACTGCCAGCGTATTGGATGTTGTAAACTTTCTCTTCAGACACAAAGAAATAGTTTGATTTAGATACTTTCTCTGTTGCAAATTTAAGTATCTCTTTTATTTTTAGAAAAATGCACTGTATGCTTTACCTTCAGTCTCAGTAACAGATCTCTTATAGTGGACTATGATGTTACATTCCTAATGGGATATGTACATGTCACTGAAAGTACTGTTGTGTGTCCTGGAGAAATTTCCTAAAACTTCTGTAAGACACAGGATGGGATAAGAGTTTACTGGGGTTTTGTCTTAAAGATCAATTTCTTCTTTAAGTCTTCATAAAATAGAGTCTTTTTTTCCAAATTGGATCCAACTTCTCCTGGGGAGTTCACTTCCTCGAAAATAACTATACCGAGCATGCTGAAAAGTACAACACAGATTGTTTTGCTTGGTTTTGTTTTTTAATTCCCTTGTTGCTAGATGTTAACTGACATTCCCAGGATCACTGAACTCAGTAACTTGCTCACTCCAAGTTTTCTTCTCTCTTTTTTCAGATGGGATACTTCTGCTGCTTCAGCTCCTGTTCTTACTGAAGGGACATCTCCAAATGGCTCCAAGTCTTTCACTTCGATTTAAGTAAGTCTTCCCATTCAACAGTGGACTCAGTATTTTTAGGAATTGCTGGAAACATTGACTGCATTTTAGTTTTGAATTCTTTCATCTATAAATGAAATTTTAAAAATAGTATCAGTTAACTTTTAATAAGGAGCAGATGAAGTGGCACCATGAACCTCAGTCTTACTCCACAAAATAAGCTGTGTGAGGTAAAGAGGTAAGAAGACTTCAAAAATAACAGGAAATTAAGACTTTCCCTCTGATTATGTTGGTTCAACTAACAAAGTAAAAAAAAGTTAAAAAGGACCCACAACAATCCCACCTTCTAAAACAGCACACTGGGGTGCCTAATTTGGACACTTGCCTGAGCGATTCACTGCTATTACATGAACACACATACTTTTACTTGGGAGAAAATTACTCCCATAGAATGTGCCAGTATTTTCACTGCAGCACCTTTTTCTACATTGGTCATGGATTAAAGGCCCAACAGGGTTATTCAAGGATTTCAAAATGAGGATTAAAGAAAAAATACTGGTCAGCTCCAACAGTTTAAGTTTATCCCACCATATGGATAGAGGTGACGAAACCAAGTGTTGTTCAGATTTATACATTAGTAGGAAGGGAAACAAAATTCATAACAATATATAGAACCAAGCTTTGCTTTCACCGTTGCTAAAATAAAATGCTGTGAAAGACAAAGTTTGCTAGTTTTATATTCTGTATATTAATACTAATCGCCAAATATATACTTATAATAACCATTTTATCACCAATGTCTGATTTAATAGTCCTGGCGGAACTGAAATTTAATTTCATAAAAAAATCACTTCTGTTTAAAGATAATATTTAGATTCAGTGGGTTTCTTTCTTCCAATATTTTTTACATATAATATATTTTTAAAGGATAGGAATGAAAAAATCAAATTGATGAAAATCCTGTTACACAAACAGCAGAATGTACAGGGGAAGTTTTGGACTGCTATATTTAGGAAGCTATACAGAACCTATGACATTCGTGCAGAGGAGACAGGATGTGGTACTGAAACACTGGATGCAATGACCTCTTGAAGACCTAATGCTGTCTTAGACAGTATGTCCTGGAGAGGTTCCAGGAAATCTAGATATTCTAAACCAGCCACAAGCAGGCATCTTCTCTTATATGCCCACACTTTGTCAGGGCAAATAAATCTGAGTCATCAGATTTATTACAAATACCTCTGGGCCATTTTCTGTTCCAAGTCCTGCATAAGACTAATTCTGACAGAGAACTGGTACTCCTTTAGAGAAATTATGCTGGAATGCAGTTATTCAAGTTACAGCTGATACAAAGAATGAAACAATTTACGAAGAAATTACCAATCCTTTGCTAACACAATAACTAACAATGACGGATGAAAGCATTTTAGATCAAATTTTTGTGTAAAAATGCATGGGTAGTGATAATCAAATAAAAATACATATTATATAAAGTAGGAGGAAAATTCAGAGCCCAATTATCCTTTTGTTTTATCCTGATTGTGTTCTTCTGTAGAAATTAATTCATTGCCTGTTTTATGTTTTATTCTGATCAGACAGCTGTTTTTTTATAAATCATTTGGTTTTGATTTTTAAAAATCTTGGCAGTGACCCACAGTTGTTCCTAAACTAACATTTTTGCTTCTTATTTAATACTAAAAAGCTGTCATAAACAGTATTTCAAAGGATAATAAACACCAGTATCAGAGCTGACATAGGGGAACAGCCCAAATTACACTAAACAATTGCTGACAATCAAATACTAGTATTTACAGTAGGAAATGTTTTATAAGCTTTGCCTTAGCTGTTTTTTCCAGTCGTCTATAATCAAGTTACCTCAACTCTCTGATGTGTGGAAAGTGCTCAACTTACTTAACATTTCTTACTTCCTGAAGTAAAACTTTCCACTCTTTCACCTCATTCAAGTATTATCTGGGTATTTAGTAACACAGGAATGGTCAGATCCTAACCTGATGTAAACTGCTGTAGCTCAGCTGGTATAGCTGGAAATAAAACATTTTATACCAGCTAATGAGCTGGTACAATGTGAATTTTTTGGATGTTTCTAAACTCAGACTTCTACATTTCTTTACTGTCAAATTTAAATGAAGGACTTATAAGCCCTGCAGGGCACCTCTGTTACTCCACTGAGGACACACAAAGCCAAATTAAAACTAAAAGGAATTACACAGAGCTTTCAAAAGGGAGTGGGGTGGAGGAGCCACTGTCTTCCCTTCATTCATAGCTCCTCTAAAGTTTACTTGCCGCTAAGCAAGTGAGAAAAAATAAAAGCATGGAGAAGACTTTGAAAAATAACTATTCTCTGATGTAATGGAACCACATCCAAAGTTCCTCTCCCTTCTCTCTTAGTGACAATGCCTGCTTAGGAACCGTTCTAGTATCAAATTTTAGGCTGCTCTTAAGGTTCTTTCCAACCCTAACCATTATATGATTCTTTCAATCAGAGACTATCAGCTCAATATCCTGGGCCTTGACTGGCCAAACTCTTATTTAATATATTTAGGACTAAATCTGGCCTCCAAAGTTATCCACACTGGCCTCAGGGTTGTTCTTGTTGACATCTGGTTGACATTATCGTACCAGGCCCACTGCAACTTCAGACAAGGAAATATTTGTTCACTAAGCTTGTAAATTACCTGTCATGTCATGGATTACCACTGTCCAGTCACCTCCTGCAGTGTGGTGAGCTTCTTGTGAAGATGATGAATCTAGCTTTATGTTCTATTACTACTGCACACTTGAGGTGCAAGAACTGGGACCTTGTCTTTACCTCTCCAGGGACAAGAGCACTTCTTGATGAGGGAAATGCTGCAATTAGGAATCTGTCTTACCTTGCCTTCTCTTTTTAGTACACATGCCACTTGGCAGGTCTCTTCTCCCCTCTCCTGGAAATCTTCTCCTGTATTTCCTCCACATTCCACAATACATGTGCAAGTGGCCTTAAATCAACAGGCATGAATATAACTATGAAAGCTAATGTGCTATGTACTAACTACTGGAATGCTTTGAAATAATTCACTGAAATGGCTGCCTCTTTGTTATTGCCAGTGGCACTGACACTGGCATACTCGGTTCAACTGTGAAAATGAAAATAGTGAAGTAAACCGAGCACTAAAATCTGCTTATATTTAACCTCTTTTTGCTACCTTCAATACCATGGGCCACTCCCTCAGCTGATGCTTCTGAACCTAGTGGTATGTGAATGATTTGTAACACATTTCTTAACATTTCAGCATGCTCTCTTCCTGGAGGCAACTCTCTGAAGTGAACTGCACTCAAGTGAATTTAATTTTTATCACAGATATTGCAAAGCTTGATGCTGTTTTTTCTTGCCAAATAAATTACAGTAACTGTTCTACCTCTGTCAGGCTGCTTTCTAAAAGGGTATCATCTACCTTACTGCATTAAATAATCTGTAATAGCTACAGATCACTGTTATTTTCTTATCTTAACCTAATGATCCTGCCTCAGATGGCAAAAATATGGGGACCTAAAAGCATCTTCCATTTAATAATCTCTTTTTAATGTACATCGTTGACAGAATGTCACAGAAAAACTGAGATAGCACTATTACTGAGAGCACTTACATGGCCGTTCATATTAGAACGAATGGAAGAGGGGCTAGAAGAGTTTGTTTGAATCCTAGAATGAAAGTTTTAGGAAGAAATGTTCTCTTTAATGTCTGACATTCATAATAGGCCAACCCAGATTCTAGGAATTATTAGTTTCCTATTTCAGTACTCATACCAGTAAGAACTGCTTACATTAGCTTGAAAATGAAATGAGGTTAGATCCCCTGAACTGGAATATCAAATGGCAGCAGAATACAGTACATACATGCCCTGTGTCCTCCTCAGCCACCTTCCATTTCACAAGCACAAAGATGAGATGGGCTGCCCTGGATTTAAAAAGCATCAGCGAGGAGTGTTCTTGCTGCCTCTTGCCAAATCTTAAAATGATCGCTGTTGCCCCTGTTAGCGGATGATTACCAAGGTCCACAGACAGAAACAGCAAGTTATTTGTAGAAAACGGCAAGCGCTGACCCCTTGCAGTACTTGAAGAGTAGAGCAAACAGCCTGATGGCTGAAGGTGATTCTCAGTGTAAAATCAGGCACTCACTGCACATCACCCTGTGCTGGTCTGCATGCTGACCTCTAAGATAAGCATGGAAAATAGAGCCCTGGTTCTTATTCTTAGAACTTACACTTCATTGGCAAAGGCATTATGAATGTTTGGATTATGCACAACTACAGATCTACGAAAATGGCCTTCAGACAGTCAATGCTGGCAATATACATCCTAATATTTAACTGTCTAATGCTGTACTGTCATAATACACTGTGCACAACCTGTTTGCTGATTCCAGTGTTTCAGGCTTGCATTGAGAAAAGCAGCAGCAGAAGTTTATTAAACCATCTGAAGAAGTCAAGAGCTCATATTAACCCCGTATCCCATGGACATTTACACACATGCTTAACCTTATGCAGCATTGAATACTCTCTTTGAAATCAGCAGGCCATTTACAACACCTAGAACTAAACAAACACATAGCCATATTTTTCCAGAAACTTATCCCTATAAATCCTGTGTAATTGGGTAAAACATGTCCTGTGCTTTTTTAAAGAAAAATAAGTAAGATAAAAATAACCTAAGTGAACTTTACAGGGAGAGGGGGAGAGGACTGTCACTGTTTAGAATGAAGCTGTCACAGCTCCCAGACCATTGTACATATGTAGTAGCCTCCCATAGTTACTACGTAGTGTGTCTCAAATTACTGGTGAACTACTGAGAACTACCAACGCACAGGGGCCAGGCTGCCTCTTTTCCGGTGATTGGGTCACATGAAGAGATAAAACGCATGAAATACTTTCCTCATATTACTTTTCCAAGCAGGCAGGAGCTGTGTTACCCATTCATAAATGAATGCATTTCACAAATGGGAAGATAGCTGGTCTACATCACAAACTTATTTTACTAGCCCCATTTTGTCTGGTTTAATTTCCGTGCAAATGTGACCCACCAAAAGTGGGATTATTACTGGTATCTTATATATATCTATCAGAAAAGGAAGATCCCATCTCAGTAGAAAAGCCTAAAGAAAACAAAACTGTTCTGGTTTAAGGCTAGATTATTTTGAACACACACAGAAAAGGTAGTGATTAGGTAATTATGATCAATTAGAAAGACAGCTATTAATTCATATAGACCGAGAGTAATTTTGTAAACCACAATCTGAAAAAAAAGTTCAAAGATACAGGAGTACCCTTAAAAAAACTATACATTACCATGTTGATCCTTCTGAAATTAAATGCCTAGGACTTATTTTTTTTGTGGTATATGATATCTCAAAGTAGATGAAGTCAGTGTCTCATTCTCAAGCCTGTTCTTACTGACTTCAGTGCTGCTGCAGCTGGCTTCAAAATAAAATTAATGGTACAAAGTTTGGATTATACCATCTTGTTGCAAAAGGCTTTCACGCCACGCAGAAAAACAGTGAAATACTTTTGAAATCACTGAGGAACACACCCTGTATTTCTGCAGAATCTTAGTTTCAAATCTGGGTGCCTGGAAAGGACATCCACATGATTAATCAGTCTATTATGGTGTATTAGTCATTACTCTTTAGTCACCCTGGGCAATCTGAAAAATTAATATTAAGGAATTAAAAATAGTTAAATGTATAAAGCAAGTTGGTTAATGGACCCAAAATCTCGGTATTGCTGTCCCAACTCTATAAACTCTCCTGTGCTGTAATTTGGATTTCTGAAATAAAAACACAAACTGTCTGCAAGCAGGCAGTTCCTGAAAAAGGCAACCTTTGTAATTTTTAATGTTCTTTTTCCTCTGTATGTCCAGGAATAGAGTGTATGCATCATCCACAAGTGAAATTTATGTCTGGGAAAAGTCTAAATAAACCAAAACTCTTTGAGTGATGTATAAACCTCAGTGCCATGACCAAGGCTGAACTCCATGTGGGAAATCTGTCAGAGCCAGGCAGGGATGGCTGGGTGCCTCCAGGCAAGCAGGGCAGCTGGGCTCTTAAACCACAGAAAGGCAAGACAAGCATGGCCATACCACCCCACTTAATGAAGCACAGGAAAATCCCATGGGACCAAGATGCAGCATGAATAATTTGCACCTACCAGATAAGCTCTTATTCAGATTTCAGTTGTATACATATCTGTATACAGATTGCAGTTACATGCAACCAAGAATTCAATCACACCTGCTCATCTGCTTATGGCGACATGGAACTGCTCCAAAGGCAATTTCAAGACCACAGGCTGAACATGTTTTTTTCTTTCCAGCTTCTTAACAGGCTGGTGGCAGTTAACAGCTATGAGTCCTTCCTAAGACACAGCAGAGTAATCCCTCAAGACAGCTACAGTTACAGTCTTCCCATATTCTTCAAATACTTACTTACAGCTACCCCTATTCATAAAGCAGATGTAGCAGTAGAAAAATGATGACCTTACTCCTTGAATAAGCATTCTGCCCTATCAAGTATACAGTGAAGTTCATAGGTTATTTTTTTTAATTCTTTACTTCATAGATAAAATACTAGCAGTACATATGTGTGGAGGCAAGTCTTCTCCACAACAAACTAACTAGGCAATATAAGCAGTACTGAAACCCCTATATTAATAGGATGGGGAAGTGCTAACTTGGACTAGCACTCCATCTTCTTTTAAGAGCTTGAATTTAAGTAAGTATTGAAGAAATAAAAGAATGTTAAAAAAAAGGGCAGATTTGATTTATATGGAAATATATGATCATGAAATAGCAAGGAAAAGATATGCTTTTGTCATGCAGTCAAACATAAGCCTGATAAGGAATAGAGACTTCATGAATAGTACTTGCGTGATGATTGAATACAACTATAATTAAAAACTAATAACAACATAAAAATCTAGGAATTACTTGATTCTAGAAGTTGTACTGCTCTTATAGCAATATTTGTTCACTTATGAAATAGCATAAAAATTTCAGTCACTGCACTATGCCTGTACTTGACTGAGATCTATAGATCTTAGTTCTATTTACAGATAGAACCCAATAATTTTTTAAGACTGTCTCCATGTTCTCTTTTTAATTTTAATATATTTTAATGAATCCATCCTTAAAGCAAACACTACTTTGCATTTATACTGTACCCATGACTATAGTCTCATGAAATTATATTAAGTATATCTCAAAATAAGCAAGGGAATGATGTTCTTTTCATGCTTAAAATGCTGATTTAGAGGTTAGATTTCCTCTAGAGAAAAGCAGCCTGCCTAGGAAATGTCCTTACCAACACCACCATGGCCAGCCTATACTGTCTGTATTGCTTTTAATTGTTTTAGATGTCTGCACAGCTGCAGAGTTGTTTTAGACTGTCAATATTTTAAAGGTTAAGATCAATGAAAACAAGGATATTTCATTAGAAGTCACCATAAAAATGACAAACTAATATTTTGTAACTATATTAGTCACAAATTGCTGGGTAATTCTCACTGTTTCTCCAGCTTTCCATGGAACAGATGTGGCAGCAACAGTCAGAATCTCACAAACCTTCATGTGAATCACCCTGGCCTTTTTCCTATGGGAGAAAGAACACTTTTATTTCTGAGGAAATAAAACCTGATTTATGGAGGGCATGAAGAGCAAAAGGGCTTTTAAAGCATCATTTATCTTGTTTGTTAATTGTTGTATGCTTCAGTCTATTAGGGCTAAGGGGCATTGTTCTGCCTTTAACAGTAGCTTCATAATTGCTGACAGCTATAAAAAAAAAGGAAAAGAAAACCATCAGGCATTCATAGGTATGCTTTAATACCTGTCAAGTACTCTATAGCTCCAAGTTTAATTAGAAACAAAAACCTGCTTATTTAAAACAAGGGTTTACAACTCAACTGTAACTTCCAGAAAATTGCAAAACTAACATTTTTCCAAGCAATAAAAAGGTGTGGTGCATCATAACATTTGTAGAATAGGTAAATTAAATAAGGAAAGTTTGATTTTTGGAAAATCCCATGAAAATACCTGGTTAGGTAAACTTTAACTGCACGTTTAAGATCATTTTTAATTTGTTACTCTTAATTATTTTTTTTTTTTAGTGAAACACCATTTATTTTTCAACTGAAAATCTGAAACTTCATTGAGCATTTCATACGAAGAATATTGAAACAGGATGCTTAAACTACTATTCAACTTAAAAAAATAATGTTAAATTGGCCAAACCCGTTCTTTTCTACAAAATTTATTTCAATACCTCTGTGGTTTTGCATCAACAGTCAGCCCACTGCACCAGGAGCTGCTAGCGACAGAGTTCTGAGGTTGCAAACTCAAAACCATGGAAGGCACTGTCGTAGAACACAATGTGGAAGTTCTTAAATAGCAAATACACTCATTTAAAATGATGGAGCCGTTTTGTTTCAAGGCAGATGACAATTATTAAGCTTAGGCCTAACATTGCACATGACCTTCTACAAAGTGTGTCAGAGAAGGCAGCTGTGGGTGTGCCTGGATGAGCTCTCAGTTCAGACCAGCAGTGCTCTTTGGAAGCAAATCTTCCAGTTGTCCTATTTACTGGGCGTGGGTTTGTGCACTGCTGAACAGTCTCGAACTGTTTCTTTAAGGTGATGCAAAGCTGAAGAGACATTCTAGGAGCACACATAACCTACTCCAGCTGCAGGCAGGCAGGCATGCAAGCCATGCGGCAAGGCCAGAGGCAGTCCAAGTTTTAAAAATCCCTCAGCATGACTGTAGGTGTCCTCAGTCCCAGTTGCTTCACTGCCCCTGTGCTGCTGGTTGATGACACTTGCTAATACAGACAGGTTCTGTGCTCAGAGGTAATCAGAAGTAGACTGGCTTTAAATATTTTCCTAAGAGACTCCAGGAAGCAAGTTAAAAAAGTCTGACTATTACTGACAGCTTGTTATTTTCTGCAAGAGGAACAATGTAAACCTAGGTAACCATCATCTCCTGAATGGTTCTGAAAACAATGATTTCTCTTTTACATTACTGAAAAATAGGACTTAAACCATTACCAAACCAAGTGCTCGCTGATCTATCACTTCTCTGTTTATGATTAAGAACTGACTGGAATTTAGTAGGGTTTATTCCTTACCAACCTATCTTCAGAATACAACAGTGGTACCTGCAGTCAGGGGATATTAACAACCCTACCTGAGACAGCATAAAATGGTTTATATCCCTTATCAAGACAGAAGGATCAGTTACCTACTATCACCCCTGGGTTTTCATGCTGGCATAAAAAGCAGCAGCCTGTAAAGCTACAAGGAACCACCTTTAACAATAAAGCCATTTAAGAGCTGGAAGTAGGCACTGTCTCGGCACTGTATTAAAAAAACAATAAGCCACAAAGATTAATAAAAGTCTCATATCACCAAAGCTGGTGCAGCACTTCAGTGTCTGGAACAGATGTTGGCAATGACTTGCTTCTATGACAAACACAGGCTGTCTCAGAAGGCGTAAGGATGAGGTGTACTGAACTACGGCTTCAGTTTCTTTTCACGACACAAACTGCAGAGCAATCACGATGCTGCTTCCAGATGACAACACAGATTAATTACAGCAATTATAAGTCATCAAGTTTGCTCTTGTCGTTTATCTCTTTGTTGTGATAAGATCATTTAAACAAAGTTTAGGGTAATACACGATTTTATCAATCACTCGCTGTCCTGTTGATAATTCATGCTCCTAGGAAACAAATCCCTGAACGTTAAAAGTCACAGCATTTTGGTAATGGTAATGCTGTAATGCCGCTATCTGCATGGTAATACCATGCAAAACTACTCTTCAGGGCTCCACCTAACGGCAACACCTTTGGCTACTAGTGCACTGATGTATCCCCCGCTCGTTATAAAACGATTAAATACAAGATACAAGATGTTTAAACCCACTCATCCCCTCAACGTGAACAATAACCGGGGCCGCTCCCTCTGGAGGCTGTGCCTGCGCTGCCACTCCCGCCGAGGCCAGCTGGGGTCGCTGCGGGGTAGCAGAGACCACCCCCGCCTTCCCTCGGCCCGGGAACGGGATAGAGCTGACCGGCGCTCTGCAGCGGAGAACTCACACCGGAACTTTCCCTTCCTTCACCCCCAAAACCCCACCAGAACTAATGGTAGCAGCAGCTGGCTGTGCTAATTCTTCCCTCTCAGGTGTGCGGGAGGCGCTCACCGCCTCATGCGGGCACAACTACAGTAACAGCGGATCTACGGCAGAAACGCGGAGGTAAAGGGTTAGGGCAGTTCTGCCACGCGGACTGAATAGTCCATCATTTCCAAAGCAGTGCGTGGGTAACGGCAGCAGAGTTCAAAGCACAAAGACCGCCGAGTACAGCTTTCACTGCACTTCAAATTCACAAACGAGCTTTGCTGTGTCCCTCCTGTAAAGCCACCGGCGGCTGGCCAGGCAGTAGGGGAGCTGCTCAGTAGCTTTCCTGGTCAGAGCAGCTCCACTTCAACATCTAGCAATTTCACTCCCTTCGGTGTGGCTCCTGCCAAACCATCACGGTCGATTTTCCTGGTTTTCCTGCAGCTTCTTGTATTTTACTCCTGGAGGTGACAGGAGGCACTAAACAACACTTTGCAACTCAGTCTTACTTAAGTCAGAACTCCCCTCCAAACTCTGCAAGTGAAGGTCAGTCCTTTACTCACTATGATCTCACCAAGACAGTTACACGGACTGAGCTGGCAATGAATGCGCTGGAGTTAATGTACTAAGGGAACAGCAGCAGCTTTCTTGTTTGCAAAATGAAACATATGCAGTGTTTACAATTAGAATTTTATTATCCTTCACGATTTAATAAACAATTTTTTTTAATCTCGAGAGACTGTATTAGATGTCAGTAATGTTATCAATATTACCAGTAGCTCTTAAACAAATTAAGCTGCTGCCCAGCAGGGCCATATCACTGATCAGCAGGTCCCAAAAGCAGCTGGTTACTGTTACAGACAGCAAGGTGAAGAGGCTGGGCAGAACCCCTTCTTCTCTTTGCCCAGCTGCCAAAGCTTTAGTTACTAAGTTCAAACAGATTCCTGGCATCAAAATGAGTCAAGTCTCCCCTCGAGCCACACGCAGTTTAATGCTTTCAGAGGCTGAAGCCTATCTTAAGCTCATAGCTTTGAAATTCTGATACCTGATGCTAGGTTTGAAATTGTAACTTGAACTTCTATAGGCATTGGGGAACCTACATGTACTACAGAGCAAATGAACTCACAGCACTTGGTCATGCTGAAGAATCAAGACATTTTTATCCAGGTAAATCTGCAAGAGCCTCTTTGTAAAATGTTTAATTAAAATCAAAATGTTCATTTGAAAATGTTGAGTTTAGTATAAAATCTGTGGTGTTTGCTGTGGTCTCAACAGTTTATATGGAAAGAAACTCTTTCACTCAGTGATAAATTCAGTAAAGAGTTTCCCACAAACAATATTTATTTTTGTGGATATCTAATAATTATTAGATACAACGTATGCATCTAATATCTGTTCTTAAAAAACAATAGTTTGTCTGAATGTTAATTATCTCTGCTTATATGATAGCAATTAAGAATTTTCAGAAGTATCACAATGTTCCCCTGAAATATGAAAATAAATAAACTGCCCTTCTTAAAATGACCCTGTGTCAAAGAGTCCAGAACTAATGATGTACCAGCCAGCTTATAACTGCTTATTTAATCTCAACTGCTTGGGAAAATAATATTTAAGCACAAAAAATACTGTCTTTGAACAGTCAGTGTTTGCTCCTGAGTGTTGTGTTAAAGCAGCACGCAAAAAGTGTCAAAACCAACCAAAAATCAAAGATGACTTATTCTAGAAGTATATTGTTAATGCTAATGAGCCTCTTTGCTTTGGTCAGAGTACTGCATTTTTAGCATACTGCTGCTTTCGTACCTTCACCAATTTTCAACATGTTTATACTTGATTTTAACAGACAGTAAACCAGGAAAAATGTATGTGTCACAGGAAACCTATAAATTGCTAGTTTTTTATTTTGCAATAATGAGTAGCACCATTGTACATCTTTCCTTTCTGCAGTGGGAACTTACAAGTCTATAGTGAAGGCAGTATGTCATCAGAGAGCAGAGAGCTGTTCAAAATCCTGTGCAGAGACAGTCTCTTGACAGGAATATGCTTCCTTTGGCATCTGCAGTTCTTGATGTCCACTATGGCAAAACGTAAGCACTCCACAACAGAAACCAATGCCAACAGGCATTTGCTAGAGACTCTTAAAATACAGTTTTCCCCAACTCCTTTCGACACTAACACAACACAGAATACAGTAAGGTGCAGCTTCCTGAGTAGGAACTTTCGATGAGTCTTTAAAATGCCCTGCAATGTGCTGTATGCTTCTGACACAAGACCTCATTGCTGTCAGGTAACCAGAAGCCCCAACAGTCTCTGACACATCATGGGTCTTGGCCATCTCAAGCTTACAGAGACGTTCTCAAGGAAAGCAGCCTCACAGGGAAACCAGGCAACTCTGGATATAGGCCAATAACTCTTAAGGAAGTAAAAGTTAAGCTTACTGAGAAACAGTTAATGTACATTGCAGACTAGGGTCAGACTCTGATGTCCTTTGGCAGGACCAGAAGTACTCTGACAGTCTGAAAATAAGAATGTGCAACATAGTGTGAAATGGATCCTTTTAGCTGGTGAGTTAACTGACAAAACTGAGTAGCTCAGCATGCCGAGTATAAACTGGTACTCCCACTCTTCCTCCCCTTCTCTGCCATTCCGTAACAGCCTCACAAGGAGGACCCGAGTTGAAACAAAATGTGTTGTAGCTGTCTCCTATATGTCCTGATATGTTTTTTTGGTGTTCTGCCTTCCTTTACTGGTTCCTATTGAGAATTGGCATTGGAAACTAAGGAATGAGGGACTGTGTAGTGCTGTATGTTGGGACCCAAGTCATGACTTACCGGATACATCAGAACAGAAAACAAGAAATGAGAACACTACTGAAGTAGTATCTGTCTTCTTCCTTCTAGTTTTGGGAGACACTGCTGAACATATAAATAATTTGCCATGGAAGGTGAAGAAAGTCTATTCATTCCCAGTCCTAGGATGCAGACAGCTCTGCCAAACCTACCGCTGCAGGGGACTCTTAAGTCATGGCTCGTTACTAGGGGCAAACAAAAATAATTACATGAACTTCAGTGTTCGCACTCCCCACTGTGAAACACTGGAATGTAAGCAATTTACTAAAGATAGCCTTAACCTCTTGGGACATACAGCTGCTTCCCAAGTTTCTTTGCGTTGATGTGGCATGTCACGGACCACCATTCTACCACACATGAAACTCAGATCTTCTGCCCTCTTGACCCTTCCAGAAACACACTAAAAAGCAAGCTGGTTTCCTCTCTTTTTTTTTTTTTTTTGTATGTCCCCAGTGCCCTGACACAAAAAGAGTGGGATTTGGACAAATAAACTGATTGCTGTAAAGTTAGGATTTAGAGGGTAGCCTTCAATTCAGTTAGCAAAGAATATAGAAAGCTGTAGCTACTGTATTAGTCTCTAAATAGAACACTGGCTCTTTTGTGAAGTATCTGAAACATCTGTGCAAATAAACATAAGCAGGACAAAACTGTTCACCCCCAAATTGTCTCCTCCCACAGCATCCTGTTTTTCACCGTCCCAGTGTGCATGGACTCTACTTGGACACTCTATGCATGGTGAATGAAGATGTGACTCCCAGGCTGAAGCATACAGAGATGCCATCCCAAGATGCATTACCCAAGGAAAAATACAGTGTTTGAGGGGCTTGTACTTGCTACTCACACTGTGCACACCCAGAGCCTTCCAGATGGCAAAACTTAGCAATCCAACTCCACACCACGCATACAGTGAGCCCCATCCTAGGGCTCGTAAAGCCAGTGACGAACCACTCTCTGGTAATGTAGCTGTGGCAGTAATCCCCTGGAACCAAAAATAAAAGTGATTAAGACAAAGTGAACAATAATTGAAAAAAAAAAAAAAAAGAACTAAAAATGTTAACTTAACAATCTACAATTTTTCCCTACTTGCCAACTGTACTGGTGTTATGGCTGCCAGCAGACCCAAAGAGCCAAGCAAGGGGGTGGATGAGCTGGCTTCCCACCAGAAACAGTTTTCATGGTTGCCACTACCACTTGGGTGTGATTCTTATTACCCAGAAATGCTGGTCAGCTGTTTCATGGGCACAAGAATCTGACACTCAGCTATCCCACCAGTCAAAACAGCTGTCACAAGCCCTTATGCCAGTGATGTCAGAACATAATCACTGTACATCAATCACTGATTTTGGTACTTGTTCTTAGTGGGGTGTGGGTGAGAGGCAACCACTGGCCTACAGGTCTTTATCTGCAGTCCTGAAACAGCAGATTAGGAAAATGGCAGAACTTGAGTAGTTTCAACTGGACACAGGGTATAACAGTGACTGAGATTTTGAAGGGCTACAACTCTGAAGGAGCTCTGGAAACTATTTAGTAGTAATATTCAAAATTATAGGAAACTACAGTAGTAGTAGTTAAAATTTTGTAAAGAGCAAACAACCATCCCCCTGCAGAATTCACCAAGTGGCAACATAGAAAATGCTCTGCAGGCTCCATACTTCTCATTTTTGACAGAAACAAGAGCAGGTGGTTTTAACCAGTTGTTAAGATAGTGCTGCAAAAGAGCATGCCATGAGATATGTCCTGAAAACACAAAACACTGTCCCTTGGAAAGGCCACCTCAGGCCAAGAGGAATGGAGCCTCAGCCACAATAGGGTCACAACCATGATGAAACATTCTCTGTTGCAGCACATTGCAGCTACCAAGGGCATAAACCACATGCTGGCTGACATCAACCAATTCACCGTTAGCCAGCTGTTTTCATCTCACAACGCCCACTTCCCTGTACCTATTTGGTATAGGACAGCTTCAATCTGTGTAGCCCACAGCAGCAGCAAGTCAGATATAATCCTATTGCTTATAGTGGGTAAACGTCAGCAAAAGAGTTTGTTTTATTTCCACAAAGGATCACTTGTTCAATTCTTCACATAGAAATACAGATTTCAGCTGGTAACTGTTGAAGACTGTCATCTACGGTCCTTACACAACTGAACAGTCCTACTTACTGAGTATCTCAGGACAAAAAGCAGCTAAACACAAATGAGGCTGCAACCGTACAAATATATTCAATAAAGAATTATTTATAGTCTAAAATACTGAAACTTGAGGATCAAAAAAAGATTTCCTCCAAAGCATGCCAAAGAGCTGCATTTTTCTATTCATCACAAAAAGTGGGATAAAAAAAATCTTTTGCATTCTTGTTTTAAAGGACTGCTTTTTTTTTTTTTAATGGTTTCTTTTCTTCTTTGATATAATTAAATATCTGCGGTGCCTATCACTATGGTATTTGTTCAGTGAAGTAGCATCGATGGGATTTTTTTCCTCTTGGCTTTGTATCTATTAAATGACCCTCAGATAGTCCTCAGCATTAACACTTTTTTCTTAGGAGTTAGCTATAGGCACAGTTATCCAAGGACAAATAAACACTTGCAAAGGGCACAAGGAAAATGCATATTTATCCTTATTTATTGCGATTTGGACATCCCAAACTGGAAGCTGTTAACAAAACCACACTCTATAAGCGTATACATACACAAACAAGGACACAGAGATCTCTAGTCACACTATTATACCAGATTCTATTAATTTCCTTACCACAGCTAATGAACTTTCGTAACTCTTTCAGCAGCGACTGCTTTGAGTAGATTTAAAATGCTGATGATTGTTTCTGACATTTTTCCTGCTTCCATAGTCTAACCGTATATAACAACATGCAGGCAAATTTCTCCCATTTGGAAGATGGGAAATGAATGGACAAAAATACCCTCTACACAGCATCTTTAAATAGGAGCCATTATCTGTGAAAATTGCTGGGGAAAAAAAAATAAAGCACGCCTGAATACTATTTAAATGCTTGATTGCCCCAGAAAAACAGTGGCAAGTGGAAACAATTGATTTGTTTTTACTGACAGCATTCAGTCACAGGCTGATTCCTCGGGGTACACAGAGAAGGAATTCTGTAAACAAGACAGTTTATTATATGATGATCAGATATGCTGTTAAGGGCATCAAGAAAGCTGAATAAGGAAAGGCTATAAAATTTTAAAAGACACCAGCAGCGTGGAAGAAAAAGATGTCACAAACAAAAGAACATTTTTAACAGAACTGAGTTTTATCCATGAGCCCATTATTCTGTGCACAGATTGTTTTCTCTTCATTACTGCTCCTATTTTTTTTTTAAGCAACACTTTAAAAACAAGCTATTAAACAATACTTGAGTCTTTCTAAAAACCAGGCCAGGAAAATATAGGGCAGAATTAGTTGATTACCAAAATATTTGCTTTCACCCCCTCCCCTCCTTTATTTTTTTTCTGGAGGATATAAGCAGGAAGTGGGATGACAGTGGGTTTTTTTCAGACACAGGCCTCAATCCTGTAGCTATCCCCTTGTGGGTAAGAGTGTGTCTAAAAGGAAGCAGTGCCTAAAATAAATGGTGTGTTCAGCTGTTCTGGTTGATTGTACTCCGCATGTTCACTGTTTTGTATGACCTAATCCATTGCAAAATTCAGCATTTGGTAAAACTAGACACAAGAAAGCTGCTGCATCTGAGCATTTAATTATAACACCACCCACAGTAATTTCTTAACTGAAGGTCTCTGCAGTGGTTCATCACTGAACAGGAACACATAATCTCAGTTTCAAGTCAATTTGGAGGCCAGTCCTATATATGCTCATATTTACTTTACCTCACTACCATGGAGGAGGTACAGTAAGTGCCATTCCAGCTTTCTCTCTTGCCAGTAACACTCTACTGATGCTGCTCTACAAGAGTAGTTGCTACTTTTGCTTTGCAGTCTTTTTCTTCACATGTTCAGGTAAATCCTGTTACCAATTGCATGAGATCAGATTATTTTTGGCCATCAGATTTCAAACTATCAAGCCACTGCTCACTTCATCAGTCCCTTTAAGTGGTGCGAAGGGAGGGGAAAGCCTGAATTTTGTCTAAATTATTTCACTTCCATATTCTACATCTTAACAGGCTTTCCACCTCCTCATTCCCATCCTTAGCACAGTTACCTCGCTTCCTGGTTCACTGCAGTATTGTGAGACCACATGGTGAACTGGACCACAAAGGTGATACAGGCTTGTGACTGAAGCGTGTCAAGACAGTATGCAATCAAGACAGGACATCAATTCCATTGCATGCTGCAGCAACAGTAATGAGTCCAACAAACAGCATAAGCTTTATGTACGTCAACTAATCTCAAGTACTTAAGTATTTAGCAGTGCCAACTCTGAATGGATTTTTAAGTTAATCCTACCCCTCCTGACTTCCATTAAGTACAGTGCTCTTACCATCAATTTTGTACAACCAAACTTAACATGTACCAACATTTCTATAAAGCGTCTGATGCATTCTTTTTTCCTGCATATGACAACTGGAAAATAGTTTAAAAGGAACAAACCTTACTGAACCAGTCTGGGTTCTTCTTTTTTGCCATGGCAAGTGTGGTGCCAAAACCTGCTATCATTCCTGCAGTAGCAACGGTACCTAGAAAAATTCCACCTGCCAAGAAAAGTTAAAAAAATAAAGATTAATATTTTAATTCTTAAGGGGAGAAAAAAAGCTCAACCAAGCCACAAACCCAAACCTGTCTGGGAATTAAAATCTGAAAAGTTAAGATCTGTCAGTACATGCTGAAGGGAAAGGCACAGTTGTCTACATTGTTTACATTAACCCAATATGGCAAGAAAGCCAGACAGAGCATTGATTCTATGAATTACAGCATTCTGAAAACTAATGGTGAGTGTATTTGCAAGCCAAACACACACAGAGAAATCATTCAAATGCCATGATGCCTTCTTACAGTACTTCAGATTTTTTCTCACTTCAGAGCCAGGCTACTAAAATTCTCTTGTAAGAATGCTATGCATCACCCTTCACCTGAAAATTCACCAGTACCTCTGCAGACCACTCCATAAGCAACACTTGTTCTTCAGCTTTCTCTGGTTTATGTTCCCATGCTCCATGACAAGACAAAAAAAAAAAACCAAAAACAAAAAAACATAACCAGCAGTTTTCCCAAGATAGAAAGGATTCCTCGCTTATCCGTTCTTTCAGAATGCTTCCAAAGTCATTTGGGGTCCTTTGATCCCTTCTAGTTCTTGTGTCACAGCACACGTAGCTGCCCACTTTTAAGAAAAGGGCTTGTTACAAAGACTGAGTGCACTGTACAAAACCATCTGAGTCACAGTACGCCTGAAAAAATTGGGGGTGGTGGTGTACAGGTTCTTTCTTTGCAACTACTGGTTCCCAGCCTCTTCTCCCTTTCCTAATACCAGTCAGGTAATTACAAAAAAGGCCTGAATAGGAAGCAAGAAGCAAACATGTTTGTGTGAGGCTGCACTATTTAACACTTGTCCTGTTACTGTGCTGGAGAACCTTGCTGAGCTCCTGCCCATGCAACCTATGAAGTACCTCTTCTGCCCGGGAGCTGCAGGACCGCACGCACTGTCCCCCACCGTGCAAGGGAGGAGCTCCGGCCTCCGCTCCGCCAGGGGGCGCGGGCAGGCCCCGCAGAGCCCCTCGAGCAGCCGGCGCTGACCGCGGCGGTGAGTGCCCGTGCGCCCGCTGCCGCCTTCCGCAGGTGCGTGCGACCGCGGGGACTCGGGCTGCGCCCCTGCCTCAGCCGCCCCGCTGGGGCCCAGCCCGGGAGGAGCCGCTCCTTTGCTTTACGGGGCCCGCGGCGCTGCCTGTAACCCGTACGAGCCGCCTCTTTCCCAACGGGTCCTACCCCCTCAGGGCATCCCGGCAACCACCGCCCTTAGCCCCCCACCGCCGCACTGAAGTGCGAGGCAGGCAGGCGGCTTTCCTCCGTGGCTGCCGACCCCGGCCCGTACTCGGCTCACGCGCACGGGGCCCCCCAGATCCCTCCCAGCAGCACGGTTGCGGCCGGTGCCTCGTCGCCCCGTGTCTGGTCCCCGTGTCGGGGGCGGGTGGCTGAGGGGCGACAGGTGCCGCTGCCGCTGAAGGGGAAATAAAAGGCGGGCGGCGTTCTAAGGGCTTTCTCACTGCACCCAGACGTATTGGCCAAGGCAGGGAAACGCCCTTCTCCCGGCCGCCGCCTGGGCTGTCCCTGAGGCACGACCGGCCGGGACAAGCAGCACGGCAGGGGCGACCACGGGGCTCCGGCACCCGCTGCTGCCCATCCCTGACCCGTGCAGGCGTAGGGGGGCAGACGAAAAGCGCTTTCTGCACCTTTGATTAAGAAGAGCTTGTCCTGGGACGCCGCGTGGCTCCCGCCCCCCCGGGACAAGGGCAGCTCTCGCCCTGGGTTGAGCGGGCCCTCCGGGGCGGCCCTCCCATCAGCCGCCCTCATGGCACAGGGGGCGAGAGGCCAAGGAGGAGGTGGTGTGCCGCAACCCGGAAGGAAACGGAGCTGGGGCGGGACACGCAGCCTCTTTTCTTCCTCCTGCTTCTCTTTCCCTGCCGCGCGGCGGGTGCTGGGAAGCCGCCACCTCTGGGGCCCTAGCCGGGTGCTGCCGCCCCCAGCGAGACCGGAGGAGGGCGGGGAGCAGGCGGCGGGGAAGGGGCGCGCTGCTCCGGGCGATGCTGGCCCCGGCTGAAGCAGCTGCGGCTCACCTGTGAGCCCGGGCGGGTCCCTGTACCGAAGTGGCCCGAGGCGGGGTGGTGGGGCTGCCCCGGCAACGCGGGGCCCGGGCACCGGAGTTTTCAGCTCGTTCAGCCGGTGGCCTCAAGATCCCGAATAGCGCAGAGGGGAAATGGGCAAAAGTTGTCAAAGCCTCTTTTAAATCAGGGGTTTTGTCGCGGTCTAGTAAGAGGGACTTTGTTTAGATCTGTGGGACAGATAACGTTATAGACTTCACTAAACAAAGCTGTGAGAAATTCTTCCGGCGACTTTACAAAACTGTATGCCTACAAATGGTGTTGCTCTAAAGGACCTATTTTAGTTAAAAATTCTCATTTTCCCAAGTTATATAGTTTTTCATATATGTCTAAATTCTGTCAGAATGGAATCCTAAAGTAACATTACGACAGCCGTCTGTTCCTTTTTTTCTGTCATGTCTGTCCACAGTAATTCTCAGTTGTTGCTGATGGATATAAATTGCTGTGCAGTTACCTATCACTGTTGGATATGTGCCTTTATCAAATAATATACTAACTGATCAGGACAGACAGGTAAAGTATATTTTTGTTTATAACAGTCAGTACTTCAACAGCAAGCAAAGAATGTAAATAAATCCAAACCAAGCGTTTCTTTCACAGCTTCCTTTGTATCTTTTCATGATCATTTATATTCTGTATCTAAGGGGCTTATTATAGGGGCTTGGGTTGCTAGGCAGAAATTCAGTATTTTGGGAAACTTCCTGTTCACTGTACTTGTGAAAACCAATCCAAAGCCGTTTCCTAATAGTACGTGTCCTGTGTCAGTTAAACAAAATCTTACACCGTTAAGAAGCAGTTACTGCAAAAGAAGGAGGCGTTATCTCTGCTGTATAGCTCACCCATCATCACTGGCTCCTTTTTTCTCATCTGGACAGCACCTAAATGATTCCTAGCCTTCTTCCCTCCTTTGGCAAAAGCACCCCAAAACCCTCTGTGTGTTTTGGAATAGCATTAGGCTTTGTCACAAATAATTATAAAACATCCTGGAAAAGCTTAGAAAAGGTGGTCATAGAAAAAAGGCACAGTGATAATATTAAAAGATGAAATTACTTTTTATTTTATCTTCATGCAGAAGTGCATACGATGATATGAAGTATTTAAATGTTACCAGTATGCATGAAAGTAACCAGCAGTGCACATGTGGTTTTGATTGTAAATTGTGTCAAGATCACCGTTGCATCTGCTAGAAGAATCCTTGAGCTGTGCAAAATAATAACCTATTTTTTTATGTCTTTGATGATAAAATCCTAGAGTTTATCTTCTCAGGATGGTTTTTTTTAGTTCACATCAATCAAGACATCACTTTCTTTCAAATCTTCTCCAGAACTAGAAAGAAAGAGAAGGAAAGGGTACAATGATGTTATTTAATCCTGGTTTGAACAATGACAAGAATCTGAGTCAGATAAGATGTTTGTATTAATCATTCACAGAGACTTAAAAGTAGGGCATAAACCCCATGAAGTCCACTCTGTCTTAGTGAGTAACTTGAAATTCTTAGTATTGCAAAATAAATCATCCTACTTGAAAAAAAGATGTTCAGCAGAATTGAGTCAATTTAGGTTATAATATTAATCTCTTCTTGTTGTATAATTGAATATAATGTAACGCTTTCTCTCCTTTTCTGTATACCTCCCCCAAAAGCCTTGCATTTTCTGTCATTATTCCTTCTCTGTCACTGTTACAATACATGTGCAATGTATTCATCTACTTGTGGCTACTCAGAATCAACCATTTATCTTCTATAATCCAGTTATGTTTTCCTGAAAGTGTACACATTTGTTTGAAAGACAGATTTAAATGATTCTGATATCAAACATCCAAATCTTCATAAAAGGAGGGCATGAAAATGGATATGCAACTAAGTAGGTTATATAGGTGATAGCAGAATTGAAAAGTACTTTTACTCATTTAATTTGACCATGGGTCTGCACTCCTGTAGCTTAGAATTTGGACAAAGTGTGGGTACCCCTCTGACCAGGCTCAGGCACTGTGTAGTGCTTTCTGTAGGGGTCTGCAATAGCCAGGGTGCCCTGAGCTTCACAGAGAAGCACTTGTGCATGGTGGGCTTCCATCTGTGGGCTTCCAGGTTTATTACAAAAAATACAGTAAGCCAAAATCAGATGGTGAGAGGCAACCAAAGTTTTCCGCTTCAAAGTATGTGTTAGTCTCCACAGTGATGCTGAAGTTACGGTTAGGATTTCTGCATCAACCCCTAGGTTTTAATAAAAAATAGGTGATGTGGTGCTTCTCTTGTGGAAGTTCATACAATTTTACTGTATGGTTGAGGGAGGAGTGTGGGAAGAGAATAAGCAAGAGCAGAAGGAAGAAAAGAAATTTAAGGAAAATACAAAAGAAAAATTTGCATAAATATACTTTTAAATATGCCTTTTACAAGGGCATGTGGTAACAGGACAAGGGGCAACAGTTTTAAACTGAAAGAGGGGAGATTTAGATTAAACATTAGGAAGAAATTCTCTACTATGAGGGTGGTGAGGAGCTGGAACAGGCTGCCCAAGTGGTAAATGCTCCATCCCTGTCGTGTTCAAGGCGAGGTTGGACAGAGCCTTGGGCGACATGGTCTAGTGTGAGGTGTCCCTGCCCATGGCAGGGGGGTTGAAACTAGATCATCTTTAAGGTCCCTTCCAATGCAGACTGTTCTGTGATACCCTGTGAAATCTTTATAATCTTTGCAGACACAATGTATTGCTGCCAGTAAGTGGCTCTATCAAGAAATAAAAGCACGATGTGCAAACTTCCTAACATGCTGCAGAACATTTCAGTCCTGGCTTGGGTCTCTGCTGCTCCCCTTCCTCTTCCATGCAGGACTGCACAGTGATACCTGGACACCTCCGATGAAGGCAAGTTTCACTTGAGGACCAAGCTTGCAATTTAGGCCTTCAGAGGAGAAGCAGCTAGTTTATAAGATGACTGTGAGCTAGTAAGTACAGTAATTTGGTATATTCACTAAATTACCTAACTGGCTGATTTTCTATATCCAAACAGTCTCAAGTGCCACCACATAAAAAGTTGGCAGCTGAGGCGCAGAATCCTGCTTGGAGCTTAAAAATCCAATTCAAAAAATAGAGGAGGTTGATTTGAATGCTGGTTAAACTGACATGTTCACTAACAGAACTGGATTATGTAAAAGAATTTGGGAAAGCGCCAAACACTGGTTTTGGAACGAGAGAAAAGGCAGCAGTTGATCTGCTCTCCCGCTCCCAGGAGAGCTGAGCTTTGCTCTCTGCCTGCCTCACTGGGTCATTTCCTGTATTTATGGGAGCTTTGATATTCCTGAAAGCACGGTGCAGCCTCAAGAGCTGTGTGCCGGCACGGGTATGGGGAAACGGGTTACGTGTTTCCGAACAATTTTCTGGTCAATTAGACAAGAAATGAAAGCGTTCTGCAGCTATGGTTTGGTTTCTGTTTTTACAGTAAGCTGGTTACTGTTGTGCATCTTAAAAATCTGGTGGCTGAAATTCCCATGTCAAGATAAGTCCTTAGGACTTTCAGTTCATATTGCAGCAAAAATCTGGTCACTGAAAAATGACTTACACACTGTAAGCACAGAAATACTGACAAAATCAGTACTTATTTGGCAAATGTAGTAATGATTGTAAGAGCCTTGCATCGGAGAATCAAAAGGCACTTTAAAAACATTGAGCTGGCTTCACACATTTATGGGAGGGGTATTTTGCCATCTGGAGAAGATGAGGAAATTGACCAGTTTGCACAAGGTTCTGCTTTAGTTCTCTGGCAAAGGCAGGAGCTGGGGGCCAGATCTCCAGATTCCTGGTCACCTCCAGCCCTGGAGCTGCTTTCTAAGCCAGAGCTTACTCCAGCAGAATAGGAAACACTGCTTTTTTAATTCCACTTTTACATGTGGTTATTCAGCCGGGCACGTCAGGCATGACTTCAGACAAGGCCAAGCATGCTGGCCGGCTGCACAGATACCACAGCAGCCTTGCTTTTTACAGCCAGAGCCTGGCCACGTTTCAGGAAGTGGCAGAAGTCCCACTGGCAGAATGGCCCAAGTTTCAGTTAGAAATCCCAAATTAGCACTCATGGATGATGACATAATGGCTGCTCAGGGGCACACTACAAATTTCAGAACCGTTGGTAACATGTACCAAGGCTGTCATATGGTTTGCATGGCATTTATGTGGGGCTGCAGGCATGAGAACATTTACAGAGGGTCTTCCTTCATATGTGTATATCTGATTGCTTTCTGTTCTTATCCTTTACTAAATTATAGGTTTTATTACCTGCTTAGTGTTTACGGTACTCTCTTGACAAGTAAAATAAGCCCATATGTCTTCGGCTCTGCCCATATTAACTAGACAGGCAAGACATGGATCCCTCCCCACTTCCTGTGGTATTACCCCTGTCTTTAGGGACCTAGTGAACATGTTTATGAGCTCTTTTAATTTTACTGGGTACCATGTCTTTAATGCGTTCAATATGTATTTCATTACAGAATAGTACTCTATCAACTTTTAGTAGTTACTTTACACTGTATTAGAAAAACCTTTAAAATGGTCCACAAAACAATGTATTTCTGACTGAATTCAGAAAAGAAACAGCAAAAAAATAATTACTGTTATTTCCATGGCATCATGAGAGCATGGCCTGGTACTTGAGGCTCAGCCACCCGTCCCAGAGGTAGCAGTGCTGATCCTGCAGCACCAATTAGATCTATCAGCCGTGGTCTGCCTGGTGACAGCCTGGAAGGAGGAATTTCCACAGAAAAAATGCATCTAGAATTGGAAACTTCTAAAATGATTGTTGGCAGGACAAAGCAGGCCTCTTGGTGACAGTCCAATA